GAGTATTCTAATAAAAGTACAAAGCTTACAAAAGAGAAAAGGAAAGCTACTAGAGCCATACCCGAACTCTTCTGAAGACTTCCGGACTCCTGATTTCTACTCTATTCCTATTCTACTAGCTTGATACTACTAAACTTAATATGAGAGAGCCTTGCTTGAGGTGTGTAAGTGAAGTGAGAAGGTGAGGGGTTTATATAGCCTCCCAATAACGGTTGTGACGGTTGGAATGGTCGGAAATACCCTCCAACCATCATTGGGAGCTAATCCACACCGTCCAGCCGCAACCCTGCATCCAACGGCGCCAGGGGGGTTCGGGCGAACCCCCTGGTTCGGCCGAACCAGGGGCCGGCCCAACCTGGCCCTAATTCGGCAGGTGGCCTCCTCCGTTGTTCTTCTCCGCAGACTTGTGAATTTTAGCCCAATTTGTCGTGTCAATTCTGAGTTATTGGCCCATTCATGCATAAGTCTGATTCTCGACATCGTCCGATTGATTTATCGTCTGTGTTGATATCGATTCTCCTCCGTTTCATGGTTATTCTCTGCAAAAGGTTAGTAAACCTAATACTAATGGAATATTATTATTCTAACATATATATGCATTGCAAACATTACTAGTTCTTCTCTATTTTGGTAATATTGACGGTCGAAGCTGATCGATAACGACCGTCAACAAAACCCCCCAAACTTAAACCTTTGCTCGTCCCGAGTGAAGGACAAAAGGAAACAAAAACTTTGATCAGGAGTTGCAACTATGTTGTATATCTCAAAGGTATAGGTGCAAGGTATATATACTCTCTCTCATATTAAATAATCAACACCTTGTTTCTGTTATTACGATTGTCTGAGATGGAATTTGGAGATCAAACTGGATCCGTTGGAAAGAGAATTCCGAGAGCTTAATTGTTGGGTTTTTGTTTTTGATTAATTGTTGGGTTTCAGTAGACATATATGACCAGCATAGTGATGGTTAATTCGTTTCCTGAAATTTCTAACTCGGTGGCTATTAACCAAACCAACAAAGATCACAAGGTTGAATGGATCGATCAACCGTGGCGACGCCCAGTTGCGAGCGGTTGCTGGACGACGTCGCCGCAACGACGCTCCGCGGCTCCGGCCAACAGTCGGCAAGCGGCGTCGGCAAAGCGGACGCCGGGCGAGGACAGGCAAAGGCACCGCAGACACTGGGAGTTGGACACCGGTGGCTCGGATATGGCGAGGTCCAACAAGGTGAGATTAATTGTGCAGTAATACCAAAATTACTACCCCCATCCTTTGGTGGGATTAGTCAAACAGATGTGTATTTTGCCTTTATCTTTTCACTTCTTAATGGTGTGGTGAGATCGTGTGCTTGTTTACATGGCATGCAACAGTGTGTTCGACAGGTGTTCGATATAATGTCTAGGAGAGAGACGGAGGTTGCAGTACAAGGCCGTTGCAACAGATCACTGTGAGATCGTGTGTTCACAGGTGAGTTTTAGTTAGCCTTTTAGCCCATACAAGGTTATCTGCTTGAATCTGTCGTTGGGTGACCTTGGTCTAAATGGTTTTTGAAAGAGAAAAAAAAACATACTTCCTCCGTTTCACAATGTAAGTCATTCTAGCATTTCTCACATTCATATATTAGTTAATGAATCTAGATAGATATATATGTCTAGATTCATTAATATCAATATGAATGTGGGAAATGATAGAATGACTTACATTGTGAAACGGAGGGAGTACTAAGCAAGTAAGCCTTCTGAACAGTGGCAGCACTTGGGCATTTATTCTCAGCCTTCTGAATATGACTAGTGAAGGAAACATGATGTGGATGACTGTCACGCCCGGAAAATAGAACACTATATTCCGTTTGTGAGTGCATAATTCCTTATCTCAGAAGGCAAGGTACACATTACAAAGTTGATAAATAACAAAGTATATAAGCGGAAGCGTAAATAGAGTACTTTATTACATGGGCGACCAAATGCCCAACACTGAAAGATAAACGATAAAAACCGGAAGCTACGTTGGGCCACCACATACGCTTGACGGCAGGCACGAGCTAAACATCAAAGCCATCATCTCTGAAATACTCCTCTGCTGGAAGTGGGAAAAAGGAGCAAGGCTGAGTACAACCACCGTACTAAGCAAGCCATGCAAGTGGGAAAAAGGAGCAAGGCTGAGTACAACCACCGTACTAAGCAAGCCATGCCGGGAAAATGTAAATATAATGCAAGGGAGTACAAAGAATTAATTTATAAGGCTATTTTGCAGAAAACTAGCATTTCAAAGCATTTAAATATTTAAAGGCATTTAAATAAAACATAAACCTTTCTCTAGTAAAATTATTACCAAGCCGCGCTCCAACGCTATCTTACCTTAACCCAAGCCAACAGGTGATAACTCTAGTTATTAAAATTTTAATAGAATTAAACTCTAACTTGGGTATATTGCTCGGCTTGCCCATAATCGAGGGCGCGGCTATTCGAATAGATTATACTCTGATCAGAGGTGTACATCGTTACCCACCAGACATGTCTTCCTCACATGTTTCCATGTGCCACATGCCACCACGGCATATGGACAGAAGCCATGACATAACCTATTGTTTAGTACTGCCCTAAACAAAGAGGTCCGACATAGACTTCCCCTGCCAGGTGCCCTGGGTCGAGCAGACAGTTTATGACCCGGGCATACAGCCAAAGACGTCGACCCCATCAAGGGCTTCATCCATCCCTATTCGTGTCTTCCTTGTTTATGACTGTACTAGACGATGCGTTAAGACTTACCCAATAGACAGGTGGTTGTATGGAGTACGCTTTGCAACAGAGGCCCGGTCGGCCCGAAGACCGGTCCTTATGATGGCCGAGGTGCGACTAGCAAAAGCAAGCACTCCGAACCCAGCTGAAAACATGTTTGGGGAATTTTGAAGGGGAAATATCATGTCATGGCTAAACAGCCACTAAACCATATTAACCATTATTTAAAAGTTATTCCCAAAGTCTAATTATTGGAAAACATCTATTTGTTTCTATTTAACCAGGGCTAAGCATATTCCTAATTTTACTAGTAAGCACCACATATATAAAGTTCTCACTAGTTTCATTTTTCCTAGAGTTATCAAGGATCATAATAATACAAATAATAAGGCTATAACAAGGAGAATCGGTAAGGCTAAATAAAACAGTGATAAACGCGGGAATTTTTAATAAAACGAAATGCAATAATTTAAATAAACATAATTTTATAAATTAGGACAGCAATATGATCAAAATGACATGACTTGCCTTGCTCGCTACCAAAATCTCCTGATCAACTTCTAGGTAGAGCGGCTCTTCCGGATATGCAGTGTCTACACGACATACGCAAAGAAAAAGGGCCAAAACATAAATAAAAACCATATAAGGTGCAGGAGCAAAGCATTAAAATGGGTTCTTTACTGTTTAAGGAAAAATTAGCAATTTGAACGGGTCAATTCCGAGTTCAAATAGTCAAGATATGGCTATTTGAATTTTAGGTGTTCTTTGAATGTCATTTTGTGAATTTGTGATTTATTTTTCTAAAGAAAACATGTGTAGAGAAAGAGAGAGGGGGGGGGGGGAAGAGATGGGCCGAAAATGGCCCAAGGAGAGGGAGAGAGATTTATTTTAGTTTTTGTTTTTAGATAAAACTGAGAAAGGTTAGTGTTGCATTAAAATTATTTAGAATGCTCTGAAAATTCCAGTAAAAATTGGTTAAGTGTTTTAAAACATGAGGAACAAACAAAAATTCCGACACGCCAATTTGAGTTGAAACTTGGTGAATTTTAATTGTTGAAGGCTATTTTTGGCTTTTACAATTTCTAGAAATAATTTAGACGATAAAATTTTAGGGTGATTTTCGGGCGCGACAATAAGAGGCATCCTTTGAGGCAGTGTTCTTGTCCAATGAGCAAGACTCTGTGGTCCTAACACCATGGTCCTTGTTTTTTTTCCTTTTTTAAAGAAGCATTCAATAGTTATCATTCAGTTTAAGCTTATCGATATGTTATTATTAGGTTACACCTTGCACCTCAGAAACAAAACACCTAAGAACATAGATTCGTATTTTCTGAGGTAAGGAAGATTAGCAAAGGGGGTGAAGAACATCACATACCATATGATTTTTGTTTGTCAATAGACATCGCACCTGAAAGAAATGTGATCAGTACCTAGAAATTTACCCCTTTTGTCACATTATGTCCGTGATCGGCATTTTCTGAGACAATCCGTGACCAGCATTGCGCTTCTTGGTTGCCTGGGAGGCTCACGAGAGGAATGCTTACAACACAGCACAATTCATGGCACTTTCATGTAGAAGATTAAGGAGGAAGCTCAAGCACCTGGCAAAAGTATGAGAACCTTTGATGTCGAGAAACTAATCTTTATTGTTTCTGGCTTTTAATATTCTTATACAGCTTTGTTCTCCCAAGCTCGATCAATCAATTTTAGGCAATTTCTCATACCTTCACCTTTCTTTTTTTTAATAACTAGAAAATATGCCCGTGCATTGCAACGGATGAATGCTATTTTAATCTTATTATTGTTATACGGTTTAGCTAGGATGAAATTCACTGTGAAAATTTGCTTGGATATTTTATTTTAGAAAATCATGAGCTGCAATTAGAAGTCTGACTTTAATCTCAAGTTAGCATGCAAGTTTTTTTAAAAAGAAATTTCTTATACGACTTCTTTTGTATTTCCAAAAGCAAACGAACTTAAAAATCCAACTCAAACATGAATCCGTATTTCCAAAAGTGAACGAACTTAAAAACCAACTCAAATACGGATGAAGTACCAAAATATACCGGCAAAAAGATCTTCTATTTTTATAATAGTCGAGAAAGACTAAATGAGAAATTTGCGCCTGTAGTAGGTCATTGTTCTTGACCATGCACATGACCCATGCAACACTCAGCCAGTGCAAGCAACACTGTGTGTGTCGAGTGTGCTCCAATTCATAGCATTGCAGAAATTCACATTGATATGAAAGAACCATTGTGATGAATGTTAAAGAATCAGCAAAGCCTTGTTCCGTCTCCAGATACCCTGGATATTTGTTCCTAATGTAATGTGGATATGTGGAAACATCAGGAATCAGTACAGTTGACAGCTGAACCACAGAACGGAAATATAGTGCCTTTGCATAGAGCTAGATAAGTTAAATTACCATTCAGAAACAAGAAAAAACTAGTCAAACCTGTAGCATTGGGTTTTTATTCGGAATTTAGAATCACTAACATTTGGTTCTAGTTAGACAGAAACTGACACAATTGATCAATAATGCAATATTCTAGTAATTGCGATCAAAAGATCATCAATACATGAACTCTGGATCAGAAATTAATTGAAATCCTCAACTGTTGTCCTTCATCGGCCCTGTGGGTGCATCATATCAGAGAAGATGATCTTTTGTCCGGTGATGCTCATTGTTGAGTAGGTCGATGGTTTGTCAGTACCCATGATAGTTATCAAGTCTGGTGTTCTCTTTGACGATGTTGTTGCTTCACTGAATTTTTTGTTATTCTCTGCATTCTCTTGCAGCTTCAGTGCAGCTTCCAGACTCCAAAGAACATCACTCATCAGCGGCCTGTCGATGCTGCGATCAGCAACACATTGTTTTGCACAATCAGCAAACATCCTAAGGCAGGGAGGACTGATTTCTCCATGGAGATGTGGATCAATAATTTTGCCAAGCATGCCTTTCTTCTGGCAAGATAGCGCCCAGTCACGCAAGCTTGCTTGCTCTTCAGGAAGCTCTATGTTCACTGCAGGGCGCGCGCATAGGATCTCAAACAACACAACCCCAAAAGAGTAGACATCTGATTTTTGGGTAAGTTGCTTCCTCCGATAATACTCAGGATCAAGATATCCGAAAGTTCCCTTCACAACTGTGCTGACATGGGTGCTGTCAATGTCTGGGTTGGCCTTGGACAACCCAAAGTCTGAAACCTTTGCCACCCACTTGTCATCCAATAGAATATTGGCAGTCTTCACGTCACGATGGATAATGGTTTGATTTGCACCCATATGCAGGTAATGCAGCCCTCGGGCTGCACCAATGCAGATCTTGAGGCGTTGCTTCCATGGTAAAGATGGCTTATTACTGTTGTAGAGGTGCTCCCGAAGTGTCCCCTGGGCCATGTATTCATACACCAATATCATCTCATTCTTTTCCTTGCAGTATCCGATTAGAGACACGAGATGACAATATCTAAGCTTGGACAACAACTCAATCTCGGTCTGGAACTCATGAACACCCTGCACAGATAATGGGTTGCTCCGCTTGATCGCTACATTTTCGCCATTATTGTCTATTTCTCCACGGTATACATCCCCAAATCCACCTCTACCAAGAAGAAGGCTTTCATCAAAGTTTCTCGTTGCAACTTGTATTTCGTCAAAGGTGAAATTCCGACAAAGATTTGATGGTGAATGGTAGAATTCAGTTCGATAAGTCATGCACTTTTTATCAGTCATGAAAGAATGCTTCGCTACCTTCTTTAGTCTGCAGATGATGCACACAGAAAAACAAGCGATAAGCATAGTGGCAGTGCTACCCATGGCTCCACGTATGGATGCTGGGACAGCACCCTTTGATTTCCCTCCACCAGATACCCCTTTAGGGTTCACATCAGACTTTGGTTGTGGTGGAAGTGGAGGGTTAAGGCCAGCAAGACTTTTTTTTCCAATGTCCTGTAGCTTGAAGACCTCAAGACCATTTAGTATTGCATCGTAATACTCTGGTCCACTTGAAAGATCAGGGTGAAGTGCAACCCACAAGTCCATCTGACCAGAACCAACTGTGACGATAACATAGTCGGTATATGTTGTTATGCCAATTCCTCCACTCCAAACAATTACATCCATTTGTTCCTGTACCGTCTGGTTGTTGATGTAAATGAAGAACGACCTCTGGTTCACCTTGGTTATAGGATACTCGATCTCACAAAAATGGAACCTTAGGAGGTAATAGAACCCTGCATCAACTGGTAAGATCCATGTAAGACTGTAGTGAAGGTTGATCTGTGCAATTGGCCCCATTGACCTAGCTGTTCCATATACATCAGCAGGTGCGATATAGTTTGGCATAGTACTTGGATATGTGATGGTGACATTACTATCTTTGCTGAAGGTGACCCCAAAGGCAGAACCATATATATATGGGGAATCATTCTCCCATGAACGATAGAACATAGAATCACCTTGTGGACTGATTGTCATGCCCCCAACATTGAGGCGGTACATCGTTTGGAAACTGATCATAGAATCTATATCAGATGGATCGGGGTTGCCATTGGTAGGTGGTATAGGTGATAGTGTTGTAAAGATGTCGGGCGTGGGGACAATCTCAATCCCATTCACAAATGCGTAAGAGCCATTCTGCGTGGATGGGAAAAAGGTGAGGTCCAGGCTACCTGAAGTGACATTCAGCGAGAATTCTCGAAGGATGTAGGCATACTTTGCAGCTAGAGCTGTTTGCGAAGCATTGAAGTTGTCTAAAAGGGTCAAATTGTTGGTTGTGACACCAAAGTAGGCATCTCTAGAAGCATAGTTGCCATATGCCACTGGATAGAAGTGAAGTCGCACAAACATGCGGCCTGGGATAACTGGGAAGGAATATGTGTAATTTGAAATGAAGATGCGGGATGTCATGTAAGGGACAAGAGATGGGAGGGAAGGGTCTTGATATGAAGCTCTAGCTGCAAGCCCTTTCACTGATGGTGCAAACGTGGAGCTAGTGTCCCCATCCCAACTCCGATTATTGCTATCAAGTTGCATGGCAGAGGCTCCACAATTTAGAAATATTGGACTAGAGGATGAGAAGTAGTTATCAGCCGCTATGGCGATTGATAAGAGGGTTGACAGTGTGACCCATTGGGTAGTAGCTAGTAGGCTTGGGTGCATCATTGGTAATGATGGTTGTGAAAATTAAAAGTTTTGAGCTTTCCTTCACATCGATTTGCTATAGATTCCCGGAAAACATAATGCTACAAGATAGGTGATGCAATTGCATACTTTCTCTGGGTAGGGCTTGGACATGAAAATTAGAGAGTTCGGGGGATTGTACTGTTTTTTAAGTCGAGAAAGCATGTCCAGATAGCTGTAGAATTCCCTGCAATCACAAGAAAGAATTCGGAACTTTAGCAAATTGTATCATGAAAAGAAGAATAAAAACTTAAAAACTTGAATTATAAGTTTCTATTTAAGAAATTATAATCAAACTAAGATCGCAGCAACACAAGATTATGTCATCGAAGCAAACACACTAAGGCTGTGTTCGTTTGGTGAGGTTGGGAACTCACCTCCCGTGCACGTAAAATGAAGCGACTTATTAGCGCATGATTAATTAAGTATTTGCTAATTTTTTTAAAAAATGCATTAGTATTTTTTTTAAAGCAACTTTCGTACAGAAACTATTTTGCAGAAAAAACACACTGTTTAGTAGATTGAAAAGTGTGCACGCGGAAAATGAGGGTGGTGAGTTGGGAACTCTCTTAAAAGAACACAACCTAAGTTACACATTGCCCCCAAACCAAACACACACCAAACACACTAAGCACTATGACAAACCACTGGTAAATTCTACATAAGAGAACATACTTGAAAATTATGGCTTGATCCATTTTCTTGGATAATACTAATTCCTCACCACCTAGTAGGAACTATTGGCGCATACAATTTTTATGCTGGTATGGATATCATCTTGTCGTCCGTCCCACCGCTCCCCATCCCCACCCCCAAAGAGTGATCCGGCTCAACATCCATCATCACATATTGCAGATTGCTCGACCGCAGCTAATGTTACCAATTGGATCATGACTCTTCCTCACCTCTCAAACAAACTCAAGAGACATGATCCTGACGACATAAAAATAGACAAACTATTAACACGCATGCAATCTTTGTCCTGGTGCTGCTGACCCCTATTGAACCGTGATGGTGCAGCAACCGCTAGTAACCCAAGCATGTATTTGCTTCATGGGATGGGGTGGGATGGGATGGGTCAAGCCCACTTTCGAGGGTGGGTTAAGTGGGATGGGATCATACATGAAAGAGAATATTCCCCAAAGGTTCATGTTTACATTATCCCTCAAAAATGGGTGGACCAATACAATAGATTTTTCTCTCACATTGACATGTGGGGGTATCCATAAGAAGTAGGACCATCCCTCCTAAAACACATGGATGAGTTTAACACATCCCACATAATCCCCAAACCAAACACATGCCAAGATGATGCCCTCCAGCACGTCACGTATGTCCTATCTCTCGAATAACCACAAAAATGGAATCCTCATATGTGAGAACATATGGTGCTCCTTCGTTTCCATCCATATCTCCACCAGAGTCACCACTTTATGGCCATTGTCGACATAATTCTATATCTAGACCCATCATTCTGGCAAACACCAAATCCCCCTCTAAAAATTGAGGACACCATTTAGTCTGTAACGATCGAGAACTGAAAGTGCATATATGGCACTAATTCTTTTGGTGATTAATGAGAACCAATTTGAATTTAGTAATGGGATTGTTAATTGTTTGAAATAGTAAATTTTCTACCTCATGATGCAAGGTGCAAAAGACAGTTTGGAGACTTTTGGCGAACTTCTAATATTTTGCTTTATTGAGTCCAAGATACCATACTATTAAGACGGAAGCCACATGTAATAATTGGATTATAATTTAGTGCTAAAAGTTGCATTTTCTCAAAGTCTTGGTACTTTTTAGGTTGGAATATCTGACTCACTGACAGAATTCCAATGCATTGAAATTTTTTTTAGCCGAGTTGAGGGTTGGGCTAAATTAAAAGTGATCAAGATATCCGCTGCAATTTTGGAATATCTGATCCGTCGGAATCTTCGTTTTTCTAAGGAACTCGATTATGTGTTTGGGATTAAATTCTTGACTGGAGTTTTCAATGCTTACATCAAATACCAGACGGACCGAACAATCCAAAATTCAAAGGACTCAACTCTTGGGTAGAAACAATATGCTCCATCACATATCGCCTAGTAGTATGAACATAAGATCACCTGGAATGCCTTGTATTCCTTGGAACTTGAGTCTCAGTTTGGTTTACTTCTTTGCTTTTGGAGTTTTCGATATCAAAATTGGAATATCCGACCAGTATTTTTACGAGACAATATTTGTTTGTCACAGTTGGAGCATATCCATCGATGAAGTCAGAATATCCAAGGTGGGACTAAAATTACCACCCCCCCCCCCAACTCCCCCACAACAACCAGATTTTATGTTGGCTATTTAAACCTCCACCCAACCCTTCTGTAAGGTTATCCATTCATCCAATTCAATCTTGCTTGTGGGTAGAGCTTTGTCCTATAGTGCTTTGGATCTTGAACTCTTTCTCTTGCTCTCTCAAATCCTTCTCTATCGTTGTGGTTCGAATCTTTGGGTGTGTGGATTTGGAGTTTCAGACCAAGCATGGGCACAAACAGACATGGGGTAGGTTGGGCTTGAGCCCTATGCCTAGCTCTATAATCCCCAATCTAATCTTGAAATATGCTATATAATCTGTGAAAATATTTGAGCTCTAACTAGCTCAGGCTTACGCACGAAGGTTTTATGGCTCTGCCGCTGTGACCAAGTGTGTGCTTCTCTTGATATTTGAGCACTATATATGGTTGTTTCCATGTAGTTGTGAGGGATTTATTATTGGAGGTGTTGAGGACTCGTATATGGCTAGGTGTCGACCTCGGTCACTATTTTGATTGTGGTGAGCCAAGGAAGTTTGCAAAGGCTGGATCTTGTTCAAGCAAGGAGAGATGTACAACAAGTCGAGGAGGATTGCATTTGTAGAACATCACAAGGATAGGGTTGAAAAATATCTGGATATTTTTAAGCTCCTCTACGGATATTTTTAAGCTCCTCTACGAAGACGTAGAATCTCGAGGTTTCGAACTCTGGGAAATACATTGTTGAGTAAATCTATAACGACACGATTTTTTGGGCTGACAAAAACTATTTTAGTAAATCCCTAATTCCAAAATTTTTTGTTCTCTGACAGTGGTTAAGGACTAACTGCCAAAAGATCTAAAAAAATCCCTGCTTGAGACCTTCCTAAATCACTGGTGGAGAAAGGGGCTTTACTCCCGGTTCATAACCCCCCTTTAGTCCCGGTTTTCAAACCGGGACTACCAATCCGGGACTAAAGATCACTATCTTTAGTCCCGGGTGAAAAAACCAGGAGTAAAAATCTATCTTTAGTCCCGGTTGGTGTTACCAACCGGACTAAAGATAGAGCTAGCCTAGCTAGATCGGTTGCTTTATTATTATTTTCTTTTCTTCATTGTGTTTTTAATATATTGATTTCGCTCCATCCCCATCCCAAAATCCCAAATAAATTATCCCCAAATCAGCCATATTCAAATAGATCACAAAATCTTAAAACAAAATTACATCACAACTTCTACAAAATTCATCACAAATACATCACATATTCACGGACATCACACACAAATCAAATACACAGATCTGAGTCACAAATTCTTAAAAAAAAGAAAAATAACACAGGCTGCCAGCCACTGTCGCGCCGGCCGCCGGCGTGCCGCCGTGCCGCAGCGCCGCCTGCCGCCGCGCCGCCAGGAGGCCGCCCGGGCCTCCACCCGCTGCCGCGAGGCCACCGCCCGGGCCTCCGCCCCGCTGCCGCGAGGCCGCCGCCCGGGCCTCCGCCCCGCCGCACCGCAAGGCCGCCGGCTGCCCAATCTATCAGTAGGATGATGGGGAGGGAAGGAGAGAAGTTAGAGAGGAGGAAGAGGAAGGGAGGATGGGGGAGGGAAGGAGAGGAGTTAGAGGAGAGGAGGAGGAAGAGGAAGAGATGGGATGAAGAGATAAGGTCAGTGGAGGAAGAGGTGAAGAGATAAGGCTGCCCGTCTCCTCCTCCTCGATCTCACAGATGGCAGATGCCTCGTACTCTCCGCCACGATCTTTAGTCCCGGTTGGTAACACCAACCGGGAAAAAAGATGCTATCTTTAGTCCCGATTGGTAACACCAACCGAGACTAGAAATAGAGTCCCGGTTGATACACCAACCGGGACTAAAGATTAAAAGGCAGCTCTAAACTTTTGAACCGGGATTAAAGATAATCTTTAATCCCGGTTTTTATTGCAACCGGGACTATTATGGATTTTGGCCGACCGAGCAAAGATGGTTTCTCCACCAGTGAATCTTCAACCCAAAAATCCCGATCCAGTTTCAAATTCCGGAATTCGAATTTCCCTCTGATACCTTTCATAAATTTCCCATCAATTTAAGGCCCGTTTGGTAAGGCTCCAAACTCCAACTCCGAGCTCCAAACTCCTACTCCAGTAAGAGCTAGCTTCTATTGGAGTTGAAGGCTCGTTGAAAAGTGTTTGGGTACGTTTCAGCTCTAGCAAAATTGAAAAAAAAATAGCCGCCGGCCCCAGGCGCGCCCTGCCGGTCGTTTGCCATCCCCAGGCGCTCCGCCGGCCATCGGCCGCGCATCGTCTCGCCGAGTGCCGCACGCCGCCAGCCCGCTAGCTGTTCGATGTTCCCAGACGCGTGGTCTCCGCGCGCCGCCGGCCTGTCGCCGTCGCCCGCTGACGCTGTGGAGCTAGGTTGGGATCGGGAGGAGATGGAGGAGGAGAGAGAACGGGAGGAGAGGAGGAGTGAAGGGTAGTTGAGTGGTAATTTTTTGTGTAAATAGACTAAAAAGTTAAAGGGTAGTGGGTCTTTTGGGGTGGATTGGAGTTATGGAGCAGCAAAAACCTAGCTCCATCCCCGTAGTTCATTTTCTAGGAGTATCTCTGCTACCTCCACTCCAAAAAACGGAGGATCTGGACTGTTTGGCACAACTCCGTCTCCATTTAAGTTGGAGTTAGGAGCTATAGCTGTGCCAAACGGGCCTAAATATCAATTTCTATCAAAATTTCCATTGAAATTTTATTCCTTGGCCTTTCCTTAATTTCTCGAGTTCAAGTATCAAATTTGAATTCAAACCTGAATTTGAATTAATCAAAGTTCCATCTCCATTCATCGATTTGAAAAATCCCACGAATCACTATTCATCTTCAGCCAACCATCTTCCTCTTCCTCCCGCCGGCCCAACCTCCTTCCTCTCTCCATCGCTTTTTCTCCTTTCTCCCACGCAACCTGCGCTGACCAATTAGGCCCAATAGCCCAATTCCCTCCAAATGCGCCACCGCTCGAGCCATAGACTAGCGCGCTCGGTCGCTCCATGGCCAGCAGCGGACAGTAGGGCCCACCCGCCACACCTCCTTCCTTAAGCTGGCAACTACAGCTGCAATGCCGCCCAACCGCCCTTGCAGCTCCGCCACATCGTTTCATTGCATCGATGTCGTCCCGATAGCCCACCGCCTTCGCTTCCCCCTGACCTCCGCACAGGTTATAGTTGTCATCGCGCCGCTCCTAGCTGCGACATGAATCGCACATCATTGCCTCTCTTCTGTGTTAGCTAGTGCTGAGCTCAGCTTTAAATTGGCCGACGAATCCCTCACCTTAAAGCTCCAAGCCACCCCCTCTCCTCCTTTTGCACCACACCATGTACTTTCCTCCTCCCTCTCCTCTCTCCCATCCACAATATATTACCGCCGTTGGCGAAAAATCCCCTCGTTTCACCACTGAGCCTTCTCCTCCTCCCTCCTTCCTTTAGTTCGCGATTACTGCACCCTACCAAACCCATCCCGAGCCTCCTCCACCGTCGATTTGGTCGCTGCCGGCAACCAAATAATGACCACACTCCACCGAGCCTCTTCACTGCTAGTCGCCGACCATCTTCACAGTCCCTCCTTCCAATCCAACCCATTCAATAGTTTCGCCCTCCCCTCCGTTTCCTACTCCTACAGCCATCCCATCCAGCGAGCCGCGCGCCATTCGACGGGGCACCACCTGCCACCGCCGACAACTGTCGGTGCAGCCTAGGGTCGGGGGCTAAGGGTGCAAGTGGGTTGACCCGTGAATCCACTTATATTATAAATAAGTCGGTAACTCGGGGCATCTCACGGCTATGGACCACGAATGCTACCTCCTACCTCAACCCATTGAACTCCAGCCCACCAACCCATTAACCCTTTACCGAAGATAAAGTCTAGTTCACCTCCTGGCTGACCCAACCTGTTAGCATCTAATCCAAAGCCAATCATTTTTCCAAAATTCTTTTAATAATTTTCTATAATCCAAAAAAATGTTTTAATCTTTAAAAGTTCACTTCTCACTATCCTCAATTCCGATTGACCCTATTTAAGTGTCCATTTTTTTTATATAAAAGTGAGATATACCCAACGGCAATATTAGTAATCAGTAATAGTATTTTCTTTCTGGGATTTTGTGTGGTTTTCTCTCTATTGCACTTTGTCAACGACGACAAGAATAACTTTGGATGCAGAATCTTGAAGGTTTCAAAGACGAAGACAGAGGAAAATCACCCTTTGATCATATTGCTCCCAGTGTATAAAACTTTGTTTGTAAAATTATATTGCTAGCGTGCGCATTAATTTGACCGGCCTCGATTTGTGCGACGAACCGAAGGACCTACATAGTAGTTGAATATATAGTACATGGGTATTTTGCTAGTGGTAGTAAAATTAATCTAAACATTTCAAAAAAAAATCATCTAGAAGCGCATATATGCTTATTGGGAAAAGTCCATTTGTGGCCATTACTGAACTTAATTTTCTCAAGGTTTTTTTTCACCGTGATGAACTAAGACCCTTTTTCTTCTCATCATGCATAAACTGCCGAGCGCGCTATAGCTCTTCGGCTGCAGGCGTACATATTGGAGTTGCCTGCTAAACAAGACGCCATGAACGACGAGAGGTTTACATATATATGTTCGTCAAAGCTAGAATTGAAGAACAAATCAGGTCAGGTGCTGCATATATATAATTATCGTTTTTATTTTGATCTGGTGTGTTTTGGTGCAGGCAGCGCATAGCATATGCATGTGTTGAAGCTAATTGATTGACATGAAAGAACTCACAGTACGGGGGCGAACGAAGGTATATACGATCTTCGCGCGCGGCCTGCGCGTCGATCGGTCTACTTGACGTCGCCTGGCCTGCCGCGTCTCACGCGCCAACTGAGGTCGTGGGCATGGGCATTTTATAACCAAGTGAATGAATATATTAGCAGGGGCAAAAAATATGGCGCCGGCCAATTTGTCAATATGCCATCCAACTTATCAATAAACAACCCAATTTTTTTTTTACGAAACACAAACACAATACAAACACGGACAACCACAATATGCGCACACTGGTTCTTCTTTTAACTATCCATTGCATAAAAAATAGAAAGTGTGACCTGTTTTAGGTAAATTTGCAACTAAGCAATTAGATATCTACGGCACGCACCCTTCAACTGTACTAGCGATGTAGTGAGGTACCGCTCAATTAGACCAAAATAACTTCATCTTTTTACCTTACGCGTGTGGAAGATAAAATACACTACTAGAAAAAAGTATTTTTGCAGGCGGTCAAAAGTGGTTTTTCCAGGCAGTGGGAAGGACCGTTTGTAGACCAACGACTGCCCAATGGCTTGCCTGCGATAATCCTCTGCACGAACAAAAAAAGAAATCGCGCCTCGCCTCGCCACCGCCGCCCTCCCTCGGCCTCCCTCCGGCCAGATCTGGGAGGGGAGCCGTGCCGCCGCCGCCGCCGCGTCCGCCGCGCCGGGAGCCGCCGTCGCTCCCCCTCCAGCGGGGAGGGATGGGGACGGGCCGGTGGGGAGAGGAGAGAAGTGTTGAGGGAGGGAGAGAGAGAGTTGAGAGGGAAATGAGTGGTGGGGAGGGGTGGGAGGAGAAGATAAGAATTAAGATTTTTTTTGGGTAGGTACGATTTTTGCAGGTGGACCACATAAGGTTCACCTGCGAAAATAGATTTTTGCAGGCGCCGCTTAAGTGGTCCGTCTGCGAAAATCATTTTTGCAGGCACCGCTTAAATGGTCCGCCTGTGAACAGCGAACTTCACCCCGATTTATATTTTTGTAGGCGGTCATTTGGCTCCAAGGGTCATGTCCGTCTGAAAAAAAAAAAAACCCCACATCGGGAAAAATGTTTATTCTAGTAGTGAGGTAGGAGTATTGAATAAATAACTCATCGATTTGCTGGTCAAAGGGTAGTGCTAGAAATGAAGTTCTTTTGGTGTGGAGGGAGTAGAATTTTAAATCTAGAAGTTTTCTCCTATCCTAACAAAGCTATATACCTTCTCATCCCATGAGCAATACTTACTTTTCCAGAAAAGAGATATCAAAAGTAATCCCATAAGTGAGAATAAGATTGGAAATTCACCTGTGTATCTATTAGTTAGTTTTGACTCAAGTGGTGGTGAGAGTATATACCTCTCCCAAGAATGGGAGTTCTCTCAAATTTTACCATAGATTTTCATGGGTATTTTAGTTATTCAAGCAAAACATTGCTAAGGTGGATTTAATCATTCATCTTTTAATACGATATATAATATGCAAATGTATGGTATCGTCATATATTTTAATTCCCAAATTTACTATTTGAATTTTCTTCCCCTATCTTACGTTTAGGATAATATTTAATAAAACTTCAAAATTTACAATCATCGATAATTTCTCAAATACTTATTTTTAAGGTTAAAACATAATAAATTGTACATGTCTTTCTTAAAAAATATTCGCATGGTATTATAAATTTATTAGATCTTATACATTTTTTTGACTTAATTGCTAATTGGATCATTGTTTCACTTTAGACCACTCTAGCTCTTTTATCAGAGGGAATGCTTAGTATATTACCCGGTGCAGTACTATATAATCGGATCCATTGGGATATAGACAATTTTGCAGCTAGACATCACAAAACGTGTTATCATTGGAGGAGACTAAAAAACTAGCAGTTTACTAAAAGATATTTCCAAGCCAATTGGAGAGAGATTCCTTAAAAAAAAAAAGAAAAGAATACACTTGGGGCCACAAATTTCTAACCTATAGTGCTCGAGTAAAAATTTTAAGATTATGTCACTCTCAATCCGCCAACACCATACATCATATTTCGTCTTAACCTAGTACTCGAGCAGTGGCCGAACGGCGTCGCTGCGACGACTCTCCAGTCAAGAGCCGGTACGGAAAGTCGAGGACCAAGCGGTCGATCATGGATGGCGGTGGCTCAGCTGGCGAAGTCGAGGACCAAGCCGCCCAGGTGAGATTTGAGAGATGAAATAATTAATTGTTCAGTAACACAAGAATCTCTATCAGACTATCACTATATTTGGGTGGCAGTCACTCATTTTGAATGGTGTGAGAAGAGGTCATGACGCCCTTTGTGTACCATGGAATGCCACAGTGCGTACGTCAGGTGTTTGATGCAATGGCTAGGAGAGAGACGGTAGTACAAGGGCGTTGTAACAAATGGCTATGGAATCGTGTGTTCACAGGTGGAGTACGAGGCTTTAATTAAAGGGTTAATTGGATCCATGCCATTACAAATTTGCCTATTTAAAAAAATATCATTACAATTCGTCTATTTGTAGTTGTGTCACTAAAATTTTACAAAATTAAAACCATGCCCCTGTCGTTACTTTTCCCATCTTTCTCTTTCTTTTTCCATCTTCTTCCTTCTCTCTTCAGTCTTCTCTCTCATCTCTCTGCTGTCACGCCTCCCGCGCGCCTCATGGAGGACGATAACCGCGCAGTCATCGGCGTGCTCGACGCCATCCTGCCACATCAGCGGAGTAACTGACGTGGAGCAGTGGCAGCAGCAAGAGGGACAGTGGCGTCAAGTGGGCCATCTCCCGCAGTGAGGCGAGCTCGTGGGAGGAGAGAGAGCTTGCCGGCGACCAAACCATGGCAGGCGGCGGCGGGCAGCGTAGCATGGTAGCTCCGCGCTCTCCTCTCCCTTCTCTTCCGGATTTGGTGGCGAAACCCAAGCGGGCGAGATCTCGTGCGGAAGCGGCGGCGAAATCCCCAAATCCCCTTGTCTCCTCCTCCTCCTCTGCCACCACATGGATCCAGCCACCGGCTCGCCGGATCCGGCGCCAGGGGCGACTTCCTCCACGGCGGCGATCGCGGCGATCATCCTCCTCCGCCGCCTCGACACCACCACCGCACTCCGCGCTCTGCCCTGCCTCCCGCGCCCCTGGCCTCCCTGACGGTGATGGCTTCGTCTTCTTCCCCATGGCCGGCACCATTGCTGCCGCCATCCTCCACTGCCTTGACGCCGCCACCGTGCTCTGGCCTACCTCCTGCGCCGGTGAGGATAGAAGGTGATGGAAGAAGACGGAAAATGCAGATGATGAATGAATAACGTGACGGCATTGGCACGGTTTTAATTTTGTAAAATTTCAGTGGCACGATTACGAATAGACGAATTGTAATGGTATTTTTCTGAATAAACAAATTTGCAATGGCATGGATCCAATTAACCCTTAATTAAACCCATGTAAAGTTATCTACTTGAATATGTCTTTGGGCGAACTTCATCTAGTGGTCTTTGAATCTATAAGAAAAATTACGTACTAATTAAGCAAAAGTAACTTTATCTAAAAAACTAATTAAAAAATCATACATATGGTAATGCTTGGTGGAAGATGTAAATTTTAATGATTTTTTCAGCCTCTTTTTGTTTAATTTTAAAAACAAACTTTCGAATAACTTACTTTTAAAAATAAAAATTCTAATAACCTACTTAAAAGTAAACCATTTTGCCCGTTGATGAGCGAAAAAATTCCACCACTGAAGTATTTTATAGATGTATTTTATATGGGGAAGTGGTTTTGTCCAAATCTCACAAATTGTTGCCTTGTTGGACGTAACCAGGTTCCCCTTATCATTTTTGGCACGGTTACCGGACCCCGCGGTAAGATGGTTACCATGCGGTAATCGCGAGATCTATCATGGTTTTAAAAACTGAAAAGGTTACCATGCTTAAAAACTGAAAAGGTTACCATGCATGGTAACCGCGTGGTTTTGTAAACCCTGGACGCAACCAACCCCTCTTTCTGGCTAGAACCAAAGAGCTGTTCTTCTGAATGGGTCCTAGAGGACCAAAATTAAATGATCAATCCAATTTTCTACAAGGCAGTTCCATGACTGGGAGTCAAAGTCCTCCGGAAATGCAAAGCGACGCTTCTAGTGGTCATAGTGTCGGGGCAATTTACTCCTAAGGTCTATGAACAAAAATATCAAACTTACAATTCTGTTTCTTCTAAGGTCTCCATGCCCGGGCAATTTACTCCTAATGCAATGTAGATCCATCAGGAATTAACACAACTGACAGCTGAACTATAGCATTAACAACTGATTAACATGATAATAAACTTTGCTTCTTAATTATCTTTTTTTTAAGATCGACACTGCATTAACAGCACCTTCGTATGTAGATAGATTGGGTAAACTATACTATCCAAAAGCAACAAAATAACCACTCAAACAGTAGCATTACTTCTTAAAAATGGTATGCAGAATTATTTACTTGATAAGTCTAACTATGCTTAGATTTGGAACTAGTATGAAAAATCTGAAACAACTAATTATTCAACATACTAGAGTGATTGCGATCAAAAGATCACCAGGACATGAACTATGGATCTGAAATTAGTTGAAACATTAACTGTTGTGTTTCATCGGGCCTGCGGATCCATCATATCAGAGAATATGGTCCTTTGTCCAGTGATGCTCATTGTCGAGTAGGTGGATTGTTTGTCAGTATCCATGATGGTCATCATGTCTGGTGTTGTCTTCGACGATGTTGTTTCTTCACTGAATTTGCTATTGTTCTCTGCACACTCCTGCATCTTCAGAGCAACCTCTAGGTTCCGAAGAACATCACCCATCTCTGGCCTGTCGATGCTTCGATCAGCAACACATTGTTCTGCACAATCAGCAAACTTCTTGAGGCAATCAGGAGCGATTTCTCCCTGAAGATAGGGATCTATAATTTCACCAAGAGTGCCTATCTTCTTGCAAGACAATGCCCATTCACGCAAGCTCACTTGCTCTTCTGGAAGCTCAGTGTTTACTGGAGGGCGAGCGCACAGGATCTCAAACAACACAACCCCAAAAGAGAACACATCTGACCTTTGGGTAAGTTGCTTCAACCGAAAATACTCAGGGTCGAAATATCCGAATGTACCCTTCACAACAGTGCTAACATGGGTGGCGTCAATGTCCGGATTAACCTTGGACAACCCAAAGTCTGAAACCTTTGCCACCCACTTGTCATCTAGTAGAATGTTGGCAGTCTTCACGTCACGATGGATGATTGTTTCTTTCGGGCCCGTGTGCAGGTAATACAGCCCTCGGGCTGCACCAATGCAGATCTTGAGGCGCTCCTTCCATGGTAATGGTGGCCTCTTGGTGCTGTACAGGTGCTCCCGAAGTGTTCCACGGGCCATGTATTCATACACCAAAATCATCTCATTTTTTTCCTGGCAGTATCCGATTAGAGACACAAGATGGCCATGTCTGACCTTGGACAGCGTCTCAATCTCGGTCTGGAACTCATGAACACCCTGCAGGGACAATGGGTTGCTCCGTTTGATCGCCACCGTTGTACCATTATCTATCTCTCCACGGTACACATCACCAAATCCACCTCTACCAAGCAGAAGGGTTTCATCAAAGCTACTAGTTGCTATTTGCATTTCATGGAAGGTGAAGTTCCGACAAAGATTTGATGGTGATTTGTATAATTCAGTTTGATAAGTCAAGCACTTTTTGTCAGTCTTGCCAGAATGCTTTGCCACTTTCTTTCGTCTACAGATGATGCACACACAAAAACAAGCTGTAATCAGCACAACCACGGCACATATGGCTGCTGGGACAGCAGCCTTTAATTTCCCTCCACCAGACACCCCTTTAGGGTTCACATCAGTCTTTGGTTGTGGTGGAAGTGGAGGGTTAAGCCCAGCAAGGTTTTTTTTCCCAATGTCCCATAGCTTGAAGACCTCAAGGCCATTTAGTATTGCATCATAATACTGTGGTCTACTTGAAAGATCAGGATGAAGTGCAACCCACAAATCCATCTGACCGGAACCAACTGTGACGATAAGATAGTCAGCATATGTTGCCATGCCAATTCCTCCACTCCAACGAATAACATCCATTTGATCCTGCACCGTCTGATTATTGATGTAAATGAAGAATGACCTCTGATTCATCTTGGTTATAGGATACTGGATCTCACAGAAATGGAACCTTAAGAGGTAGTAAAACCCTGCGTCAACCGATAAGATCCATGTAAGATTGTAGTTCAGGTTGATCTGCCAATTTGGGCCCATTGATCGTGCTGTTGCATACACATCAGCAGGTGCAGTGTAGTTTGGCATAGTACCTGGATATGTGATGGTGACATTACTATCTTTGCCGAAGGTCACCCCAAAGGCAGCACCATATATGTATGGAGAGTCATCCTCCCATGAACGATAGAACCTAGAATCACCTTGTGGAATGATCGCCTGGCCCCCAACATTGAGACGGTACATCGTTTGGAAACTGGTCATAGAATCTATATCGGATGGATCAAGGTTCCCTTCGGTGTTATGTGTAGGTGTTCGTGTTGTGAAGATGTCAGGCGTGGGCACAATCTCAATCCCATTCACAAATGCATAAGAACCATTCTGTGTGGATGGGAAAAAGGTGAGGTCTAGACTACCTAAAGTGACGTTCAGCGAGAATTCTCGAAGGATGTAGGCATAGTTTGCTGCCTGAGCAGTTTGTGAAGCATTGAAGTTGTCTAAAAGAATCAAATTGTTTGTTTTGACACCAAAGTAAGCATCTTCAGAAGCATAGTAGCCATAGGCCACTGGATAGAAGTAAAGGCGCACGAATATCCGCCCTGGGCTAATTGGGAAGGAATAGGTGTAATTTGAAATGAATATACGGGATGTCATGTAAGGCACAAGAGATGGGAGTGAAGGGTCTTGGTATGTAGCACTAGCTGCAATTCCATTCATTGCTGATGCAAACTTGGATCTAGTGTCCCCCTCCCAACTCCGATTATTGATATCAAGTTGCATGGTGGAGGCTCCACAATTTAGAAAGATTGGGCTAGAGGATGATGAGTAGTTATCAGCCGCTATGGTGATCAATATGAGGGTAGACAGTGCGACCCATTGGATGGTAGTTAGTAGGCTTGGGTGTATCATAGGTAATGATTGTTGTTTTGTATGAAAATATGGAAGTTTGAAGGTTCCTTCACATCAATGCTATAAAATTACCGGCTAACAAATTGCTATAAGATAGGTGGGAACGATTGCGTAATGTTTTCTATGGGTGGGACTTGGGGCAAGGAAATTGGAGTGTTTGAGGAATTGAACTGTTTTTTATGGAGAAATCATGTCCAGATAGCTATAGACTTCCCTGCAATCACAAGAAACAAAGAATTTGGAAATTCAGCTAATTGTATTGTAAGTTTCTGCTTAAGAAATTATAATCAAACTGAAGATTGAAGCAACATCAATAATTCATCATGGAAGAAAACACACCAAAATAATATACATTGTACCAAGTACTATGAAAAACCGCTAGTAAATTCTGCAGAAGAGAACAGAGTTGAATATTATGGCAAAACATTTTGGCTTGATCCATCTTCTAGTTTAACACATATTACTCACGATCTCATATTTAACTATTTGCTCAAATATTCGTTACATTTTCAAAAAGAGAGGTATGGGAGAATAGAATATTTGCATGAACTACTAGGAGCTCCTGTTCTATTACACTTAATGTGACGAGTTTTTTTTGCCAAAAAAAATCATCAGGTTAAAGGTCACAAATTTGTAATGAGAAGAAAATGACCAATATAGGATGAATAAAAGAAAGAACAAAACAAAGACTCCAGAACAAGCCATTGGATGGTATCAGGACAGTAGCATCTACAGGCACATGATTAAAGAAAGAAAATGCAACATTGTCTATGTGGTTGCCGCAGATTAACGATATGTCTAGGTCATCAAAAGACAATTTTTGCACTCCTGTACAAAGAATATTAATTAGAGTCCTTCAAGAATATAGTCCTAGATGTTTAAAAGGCTACAAATTCTATATAACATTTACAGTTCATCCCCACTTAGTGATTTTCTCGAAACAGTTCCATCACATTCTTTCAGCTCAAGCACTAAAACAAATGTTTGTGTGCAGGCCTCAATTGAGCTCAATGGCCTATGTGTAGCAACCCCCTCCCGCGACCCCAAAAAGCCTATGTTCAATAACTTTTTTTGCACGCAGGAGATCTGCGTTCAAATTGTATGGTTTCATTAATAAGACTCTGGTTTCTATTCAGTGATCATAACCAGTCCAATCCTGTTTAGGCAGATCTCCTCTGTGTTCCAATCCAGTCCTCGAAACAGTTTCATTAATAAGACTCTGTGTTCAAATTGGGATTACAAATTTAAAAGTAAAGAGTCCATGTCAAGCAACCAAGAAAAAAGGAATTCATATTAAATCTAAAAAATAATTGTATGGTTTTCCATTCAAATTTCAAAAATATCAAAGTAAATACAAGAACAAATTTCACAGTAAACTATAGGTTATTCATTGTCAAACTTGCTATAAACTCTGGGAGTTATAGCTGGTAGCATATAGGTTAAAATTTTCATAAAGTCCCGCCCTTATTCAACTCTTAGCAAATTTTAAATATTTAAAACAATATTGTTCAGAGTAATGAAGGGTTCAATATAATGAAACATTTTAACCAAGAAATTCGTAATTCAAATTCTATAGACATTTTATAATGGCAAAAATTAAGTAAATACATGCTACATTGTCTGGAATTTAAATAGGGTTGAGATTTTGTGAAACTTTAGCATCAAAGTACATGCTACAATAACGCATTTTTTTAACTTTGGTAATAAAACATGGGGTTTTATTAAATTTACTCTAATTGGAATTCTGAATTAAAGTCGAATTGGTTTAAAGCAAATCTAGGTGCCGAACATCCCCTAATTTAACTTCAAGAGGAAAACATACAAAAGCAACATAAGGTAGATCATAAATTAATTAAATAACTGTAATGGGAAAAAATTGAAGCCAAAATAGCTGGGTTTTGAAGCCTGTAAAACTGTAAGATCACAAACAACTCTACGAAGCAGGAAAAGAAGATATCAAATAAAGGGCAGAGCTTATTTCTAAAAATGAAGCCATGATCTGGAGAGAAGGTTAGCACTACCTTATATCAAATATGATTACAGGAAACCTGGAGAACAAAATGATGAGACAACGTGGAAAGAACTTACCTGATAAGATCACTCCAGATGCATGAAAACTCCATCGCGAAGGGGAGAAAACTGCATAAACTGGATTGGACTGGTTATGATCACTGAATAGAAACAAGATGTCAAGATATCAATGAATAGAAACAACGTATTGCTGATCTACTCTCTCCTTTCTCATGCTTCTCTCCACACCATGAGACCATGTCTGAGCCATATGAGAACTCCACCAACCCATATTTTCGTTCTCCTTCTATGGCCACCAGCCAATCAATTTTCCAACAGGTAGCTGGCTTCAGCCAGTAGTCAAAGTCGTCTCATCAGGTCAAAATAAATTTAAACAAAGTATATGATCTTTAATAATCATTTCCCTGTGGTGCTAAGGAGACTGAGACTTCTAGTGGACCCGTCTGTACACTGAAACACATTAATAGAGAAAGACATCGAGCCCACCATTTTGTACTCCTGGAAATATAGAGTATTGACAAATGTTGTTATCATGAACATTAGAAAATATCTCCTATTCGGAAGTTAGGAGTTCTATAGTAATTTTCCAGGACATAAGAAATTGTACCTGAGTCCCCACAGATCAACATCAGAAAACTTTTCTCGGGTTCCAAATCGGTCCAATTTTTATTTTTTGTGTTTTGTATTTTGTTGAATACAGTATTGAGTATTCTTTTGGACGGTCATCCAGGGCCAAGGCATTGTTTTTTTTTTCTGGAAAACATCTGAAAAGGGCAGGGCCAAGAAATTGTATACTTCTCCAAAACAGGTAAACTGTGCAGTTCAAGTTAATATTGCAAGTCCGATTGCATTTTATTGGAAGAATTAGGGAACTTCAATGCTTCATACTAAAAACTTTGACTAATTGTGTTGTTTGTCTTACCTAACCAAAGATCATGTACAGTTAAATACGCCTGTAAAAAGAAAGTGGTGGATATGATATTCTGATCCTTACCCCCACGAAGTTGACCTTTTCTCCCCAGCTCCACTCCTCCTCTTGCTTCACCAGCTTCTTCACGGCATCGGCTAAGGATCTCTTCCTCCGATGGCTAGGTCGCAGCATCGGGTCAGTGCTCGGCGACCGCCGAGCCGCCGTGCCAGCGAGGGGAGGGGGGAGGGCCGACGGGCGGCGGCTGCGGGAGGCAAGCGTCGGCGGACCGCGGACCGCGGACAGCGTGTCAGCGGTGTCGGCCGTCGGCGTCGAGTGGTGGGCTAGAACAGGGTTGTTGCTCCTTGTTGGGCCTATGTTTCGGACCCAGCTGGTGTGGCCGTGTGGGAGCTGTGGGCTGCTAAGGAAAAGTCCATGATCGAGTTTTATCGGTGTCTCTGAACCGCAAAATCGGTTAGATTATTAGGAATAAGTTTACTGAGTCTCTCAATTTGTCGCTTAATCCGAAATTCGTCCCCGAACCACAATATATATGATGTGTCCTCAAGTCCCAAAGCTAGTGTAAATATGATCTCAAGACAGTTTAGATGTCGGTTTCAATTGATATAGTGCCTACATGAGACCCACATGTCAGTTAGCGTTCACTTAAAAATAAGCAAAATTATAGTAGGACCTACATCATCAGCCCCTCTCTTTCCACTTGTCTCTCCCTTCCTCCTCTCTCCCTCTCCTAGTCAACGGAGAGCCACATGGCCTCACCGCCGCTGGAGAGAACGGTGTCTGCTCACCCATGTTATCCTCCTCAGCGCCGCCAACCTCACCATCCACATGGGCTTCCCTGTTCCAGAATGCGGTCTTCGAGGATGAGCTCCTTGCCGTCCTCCACCTCCTCAGTTGCCCTTGGAAGCTCACCTGCCTCCTATGCTGCCACAGAGCTCCTCCTTCTATAGCATTGGAGATGGTGGTGCTGGCATCGTAATGGCCCACAGAAGTACCACACCGTCTCCTTGTTGCCAGTCTCCCAGCGGCAATGGCGAATGGGTGCCTTGGAGAAGGGATCAGTGCCGTTCTTGTCCAAGATAGGGATCCCGTGGGCATAGGGCGGCAACTGCGGCGCGTAGGGCAGTAGGCTTCCGCCGCCGCATATATTGCTTCTCCTCCACGAGCTCCGGCACTGCACCGGTTCTCCTCGCCCTCAACTACTCCCTCTCGATGCATCCACCGCTAGAAGAGAGAAGAAGGTGGAGAGAGAGAGAGGTGGAGGAGGGTGTGGGGCGCAGCTGTGGCGCATAGGGTAGCAGGCCTCCGCCACTGCCTCGCTTCTCCTCCACGAGCTCCGGCGCCACCAGTCCTTCTCACCCTCAACTGCTCGCTCTCGATGCACCCACCGAGGGAGAGAAGATGAGAGAGAGAGAGAGAGAGAAAAGGGTGGAGGAGGGCACGGGGCATGGCTGCAGAGCATAAGGCAGCATACCTCCGCCACCTCGCTTCTTCTGAGCTTCGGTGCCGCATCGGTCCGCCTCGCCATCAATCACTCCCTCTCAATGCAGCCAGCAATGCATCCATGCCCTTGGCCTCCTCCTCCACCGCCTCCGCCTCCGCCATAGTACGGCACCCCACCACCTCTGCCTCCTCCTCAACCATAACTCCCACCATGTCCACCCGAGTACGACCCATCCTGGCTGTGTCCACGACCATCCTCTCCTGAGTACAGCCTGTCCCGGCCCCGTTTGTGATACCAGCCACCGTTGCCGCCACATCCGTACCCACCGGGTTGCTACTACTGGTGGTGCTGCTGCTGGCCCCTGCCTCAGCTCTCCAATATGATCATTTGCGAGATGGGAAGATGAATCAACCTATGAGAAAGTGCTACCCACTGATTATGTGGGGCCCGGTTCCACGTTGACTCAGCTTGCCACATTAGCCGAAATCGGGCATAACACTATATAGAACCTCAAGTGATCCGGTATTATATTTTGAGGGACCCGTTATATCTGGTATTTCGGTTGAGGGACGAATTTCGGACTCAATAACAAATTGATGGTCCTAAGGTGAACGTATTCTGTTAGATTATGAAAAAATAAGAGTATACAAACTGGCTAATTATAAATTAAATATAGTGTGGGCTTCGAAAAGATTGTTATTAATATACTAGTGAATTAAGAGTCATTTTTTTTTGCGAGGAAGTGAATTAAGAGTCTAAATGACACATATCTATTATTTCAGAATTTTGGTCTTCTCGAGAGAATTCCTTATACGCCATTGAAAACTTGTTGTATTCCTTATATGCCATTTGAAACTGGCTCTTTCCTTATATGCCCCTGGATCAAATTTGCACACCCTTTCATACCACTACCGTGTGTTGACCGTGCATTGACCGTTTACTCTAGAGTAAAATGACACATTTAGCCTTCTTAGTTACTAGACAACCAAACAACGGGTACCAACCAGCTATATATAGCATTTTAGTACTAATCTATCCACTACCATCACATACGTGTTTTCATCAAACAGATAAATGTGCGGCCGTGTTCTTTCCAATAAGTTCCCAATTTATCACCCTTGTTTTCCACGTGCACGCTTTTCAAACTGCTAAACAGTACGCGTTTTGTAAAAAGTTTATATAGGAAGTTGCTTAAAAAAACATATTAATGAATTTTTTCAAGTTTTTTTATAGCTAATACTTAATTAATCACGTGTTACCACTCTGTTTTCGGTGCGAAGGGGAGAGGTTCCTCCAAAAGAACACAGCCGTAATTTGCTAACTAGAGCCTAATCATGCAATGACCATGTACATACTTGCAGCTCTGATCTTTTCACGTCTTGTACTCTTGAACAAGAATGAGGTTCAGGATTGGTCTTCACCTTCCACGAGAACAAATGATAACAAAATATGGTGCAGTCCCTCCGTACTCGTAAAAAAAGTCGTTCAGGACAATGCTTAAGTTAAACATTGGGAATATAAATCATGAATAACTCTCAAGTTATTGAGTTTGAAAATATAAAAATTATATGGATAAATTTTTCTTGAAAAATACTTTCATAAAAGTATACATATATCACTTTTCAATAAATATTTATATAGAAACAAGAAGTCAAAGTTGTATTTTGGAGACAGTGTCGCTGTCCAAAACGACTTTCTTTACGAGTACGGAGGGAGTACTTAATTAGCCTTCAGGTGCTAAAGATTGGAGACTACTTCGAGTGATCGAGGCTTGGGTAGTCCTCTCCGTGGGCCGGCTCCCGCCTTGCCCACCCCTTGACGAAGGGGGCGTGCGGTGGCTTCGTGGTTGAGCGGTGGAGTTGGGCTCGTCCCAATGGGGAGTAGGAAACCGGGGAGTTTCTAAACCTCGGTGAAAAATCTCTTGTTTCCTTGTCTCATTTATTTGTCGCATTTACATTTGTTCAATTTACATTCATAGAGACATACTTAAGATCATATCACCCTAGGATTGCTAAACATTGACTTAGAGTGTGATTTACTTTCCTAGAGATATAATTGAGCCACTATCACCCTAGGTTTACAAAACTTAACTTAGTTGCTTTGTTAGACTTGACCCTCACCGAGCCTAGCAACTTAGGTTAGTTTTGGTTATGTGTCATTTAGTTTTTAAATCGTCTATTCACCCCCCCTCTAGTCGACATCTTGATCCTACAGGATCATGTCTGTAAAGATGGGTTTAACGTGGATTGCCTCTCTCGGTTCCACGGCCCGTGTTATATAGCCAGAAACAGCCCCTGGCGTGGCGTGTACATAGGAGTTTATAGATTACATCTTCATCGAGAAGAAAGGAAACAGAAAAATAAGAAACAAACTAAACTCTATCTTATCTTGTCAACAGATATGTTCCTATCCGAACTATCTATCTGTTTAACACCCCCCGGCAATCCCAACACGGGAACCAGGTTGAGATTGCGCCGAAACTCATTGAGTTTACGCACTGGTAAGGCTTCGGTAAACCCATCAGCCAACTGATTGTTTGTATTAATAAACCAAATGTCCAGCAATTTTCGAGATACCTGTTCTCGAACAAAGTGAAAATCAATTTCAATATGTTTGGTTCTGGCATGAAAAACAGGATTAGCAGACAAATACTTGGCTCCAAGATTATCACACCATAAACATGCCGCAATTGGATGCTTGACCCCCAATTCATCAAGCAATTTCTGTACCCACATTATTTCTGCAGTAGCATTTGCAAGGGCCTTATACTCTGCCTCTGTACTTGACCTAGAAACTGTAGGTTGTTTCCTAGCACTCTAAGATATCAAATTACTCCCAAGAAACACAGCAAAACCTCCTGTAGATTTTCTATCATCTGGGCATCCAGCCCAATCTGCATCAGAAAATCCACTCACAAGCATAGATGATGCTTGATTAAATTTTAATCCAAGATTAACTGTTCCTTGAACATACCGAAGTATTCTTTTCACTGCTGCCCAATGAACTGTAGTTGGAGTATGTAAGAATTGACATACTTTATTAACAGAGAAAGAAATATCTGGTCGAGTTAAAGTAAGATACTGAAGGGCACCCACAATACTTATGTATCTTATTGCATCTTCAGGACCCAATTTCTCTCCCTCATAAACAGATATCTTTTCAGAGGATGACAGAGGCGTATTAACAGGTTTACTATTTTTCATTGCTACTCTCTTAAGCAAATCAGTAGCATACCTTTCCTGGTTTATAAGAAGACTGTCCTTGGTCCTCTTTACTTCCATGCCAAGGAAGTAATGCAAGTCACCAAGATCCTTTAAGGCAAAATCTGCTTCAAGACTTTTTAAGTAAACCAGTTGTAGCTTCCTGAGATGAGCTAGCAACAATTATATCATCCACATATACTAGTACAAAGATAGTATATTTCCCTTTTTTTAAATAGAACAAAGAAGTATCTGCTTTATAGGGAACAAAACCAAGTTCTTGAAGCTTATGACTTAGCCTTGAGTGCCATGCTCGAGGTGCCTGTTTTAAACCATAAAGTGCCTTGTCTAACTTACATATATAATGTGGATAGGCCTTATCTTCATACCCTGGTGGTTGACGCATGTAGACCTCTTCCTCCAGAACTCCTTGAAGGAATGCGTTCTGTACATCCAATTGGCGAAGGCTCCAACCTTTTGAGACTACAATAGACAGAATGACACGAATAGTGGCCACTTTGACCACTGGACTGAATGTGTCCTCATAATCAATCCCATACCTCTGTTTAAAACCCTTTGCCACTAAGCGTGCTTTATATCTATCAATTGAGCCATCTGCCTTTTTCTTTATCTTATAGACCCACTTACAATCAATAATATTTTTGCCACTAGTTGAGGGAACAAGATGCCAAGTTTTATTCTTCTGCAATGCATTAAACTCACTATCCATGGTTGCCTTCCAATTTGAGTTATTCATTGCATCA